GGGGGGGGGGGGGGGGACTCGCCATCATTTCAGTGATGATGGTGTGATAGATGATGTGGCGGTGGGGTGTGTCGCGTGCCGTCATGCGATAGAGTCGACTGGGACGTCTCTTCTTCAGATGCTCCGGTCACCAGTCTGAGCACTACAGTTGGCACGCTGGTGCTGGTGAGAAGAAAACTCAGCACGCCTGCCATTTGCCGAGTTGAAAGTGTAAGTCTCACACATATTTCACTTGCTAGTTAGCAAACAGGATGTGCAGCATATTAAAGGGATAGTTCACCCAAAAATGAAAATTTGATGTTTATCTGCTTACCCCCAGGGCATCCAAGATGTAGGTGACAGTTTCTTCAGTAGAACACAAACTGAGATTTTTAACTCAAACAGTTGCAGTCTGTCAGTCTTATAATGGAAGTGAATGTGAATCGCGGCTTTGAGAGTATAAAAAAACATACACAAACAAAACCAAATTAAACCCTGCGGCTCGTGACGATACATTGATGTGTAAAGACGCGAAACGATCGGTCTGTGCAAGAAACTGAACAGTATTTATATCGTTTTTTACCTCTGATGTACTGCAACGTCTGAACTGTCCTGAGCGCGTGCGTCCTGAGTGCGTTCGCGTCTTCTTTTTCAGCCAGCGCATGACGCGTCTTCTTGCTTTACGGCGGATCGCAGACTTATAAGTGCATTACCACCACCCATCTCTCAAATGGACCATTGACACTCTATCTACAATCTCAATTAGGAGTGTCAATGGTCCATTTGAGAGATAGGTGCCGGTATGTTTTTTTTTTTTACTCTCAAAGCCGTGATTCCCATTCACTTCCATTATAAGACTGACAGACTGCAACGGTTTGAGTTAAAAATCTTTGTTTGTGTTTACATACTACATTTGCAAAAATGCATACTAAATATCACAAGCACATTGGCAAGGAGTACCATATCCCAAAATGCAACGTGACTCGATCTTCCATTTTAAATGTGATAAATGACATATTAACTGTTTTTTTTCCTAAAGAATTTATATGCATTATTTGATTGGACTGGAAAAATTTAACTTGGAGCAAAAATAAACAATTATATTTTGTTTTGAATTATTGCATTATTTCTCATTGGATAATTAAATACCACTCACTAAATTCATAAAAACTAAAGCATACTGTATGATAAAGATTTGCATAAGACTTTGATTTATATACGAATTAAAAATATATAAAAAATATATTAATAATGATAGCTAAAAATATAATGATCCCTAATAATATACTGTTTCATATACAATCTAAATAATCTTAATAATATATAATTACAGTAATAGATATATAAAATTCATAATAAAAATAATAAAAGTAACTGCATTTTTATTTCACAATTCAGATTTTTTTACCCCTCGAAATGTATGAGTTTATATTGTACAATTATGACTCTCGCAATAAAAACTCAAGACTTCTTATTTTCTTGCAATTGTGAGTGATCTTGAAATTCTGACATTTTTCTCAGAATTGCAACTTGGGTATAACGTCAATTCTGACTTTGTAACTCACAATTGTGAGTTATATCACAATTTAGACTTTATAAATCACAATTGTGAGTTTATATCACACAAATCTGAGAAAAAAAAGTTGTAAACATTTGGAAATTGTGAGGAAAAAGTCAGAATTGTGAGATTGCAATTACAAGCTTCAATAAATAAATAATAAATTCCATTATAAATAAATAAATAGGCTGTATACAGTGTAGAAATGCAGTACATGGTATGCAAACTAGTATTCCCTTCTAAAAACACACTTTAAAGAAGATGAATTTGTTAAAAGATGCACTGGTGCTATCTAGAGAGGAACAAAAGCACAAATGTGCTCGTAATAAGAGAAACAAAATCGATGATTGCCGCCCTAATTTGATGAACTTGATAGCAAATAATTAAATGGAAATGAATGAGAGTGAATGAATCCCTCCAAAAATGGCCTAAACAGCCTAATGATGATGATGATGATGAAGCAGTCTCCACACTGATGAGTTTCTTTCCAAAATGACTTGATTGGAGTGATTTTCGTCCTTCTGAGATTGGTACATTACATTACATAATGTGCACAGAGAGCTTGTGGGATGTGCTTATGGATGTACGTTACTTCTGAACAATTACTGGAGATAATCACAGACACCGGAAAACCGCATTTCCAACGCATTAACTTCCAAAGTTTGATGTGGGTTATGATTTTGGTTTCAGAGGTGGAAAAAAAATCATTGCAATTTCCTGAAGTATTAAAACACATTTTAGCTCTTAAGAATGACTCATAATAATAATATTCTTCTCACTTTGAGTCGGTGGTGGTCAACCACGAGAGCCGGAGGTGGCGGAAGTTCCACAGTCTCCTCGAGTCCGACGGCCAACTCGTCTGACTTTTTCTTCCCATTTGATGAACCTATTAAAATTAAGCAAAGTCACACTATGGAAAAACACAAACCTGCACACGCATCACACCAGAAACACCTGGTGAAGGACAAGCAGACGTATATGAAGAGACGAGTCCGCAGGGTGTTTCTGTTGGTGTATTTAACTCTCGGCAGGAGAAATGCTCTCAAACAGATGGTGTTTGGAAGTCCAAAAACAGAGCATTTTTCGCCAAACTGCGATTAACCGTACAATTGACTATCAATACTAGTGAATTATTCATCTGTTCTGCATGTTTATGGACATCTGGTAAGACTAAAATGTTATTTTGGACAGTTAATTATTTAATTACACTTACATACGTGAGAGAATTATATATAATTATGTTTATTGCCGTGTTCTGAGTCTCTAAATTCAGTGCATTAACATTTTAAACATATGAAAATATATGCTTAGTTAATACTTTGGCGTTTGTGAAGTCTTCTCACGCCATACCTTCTGTTTCATGGTCGCCATCAGATGCCGTCCCCTCCGCTGCGGTCACATTCTCTTCTGCATTGCATTCTGGGGCAGAAGGCTCCTTATGCTCTGCTTCAAGTGCATCTTTATTAATTGAGTCTACCTCGGTTTCTTTATCAAGAGCCTCACTGTACACGCTGTCCATAGATTCATTTCCATTCACACACTCTTGAGGAGCAGGGACTGTTGTGGCCTCCTTACTGCTGGAAGCCTCCTCTGAGGGGGCCTTGATGGGCTCCTTCTCGCCCTGAGAGTCCTGAGTGGCCGTCGGTTCAGAGGAATTCTCCTCCTCCGTGGAGAGGATGTGTCCGTTGGCCTGGAGTGGTTGCTTGTCAGGATGGAGCTCCATGGCATCACAGGACGACTCGTCCTGGGTGAGATAAGCGTCACCTTGCACCACTGCAGCAGAGTCGTCTGCTCCCTCCTCCTCTTCCGGTTCATCATCTTCCTCCGCTTCCTCCTTTTTATAGCTCTTTTTCTTCCTGATGATGCCCCGCCCCCAAATCGGCCGCCGCCGCAACTTGCGCTTTATGTTATCTGAAGAAAAAAATAGATTTAAGTCAACTAAGAGAGCAAACAAGAAATGCATAGATTAATTCATCCTGCAAGATTGCAAATCGAGAAAAGTTCAATAGTAAACTAGTTTTGGGGGAATATTCCAAGTCTTTTTTTAAATGCAAATTAGAAATAATTTAAAAATTTTTATTTGTGACTCCAAAAAAAACTGTAAAATTGCTTTTAACACTAACTGTTGATATCATAATTGAATCACAACTGAAACTACAACATGCACACTGGAGAGATGTAGTGTGTCCACAAGAAATGACACTTTGCACTTTTCTTGCTTCACTTTTACCCAGTAAAAGCACAGCATATAAGCAGCTCTGACCACACGGAAAAAGAACAGTTTCTACATATTTACAATTATGACATCTAAAAAAGACAAAATCAATTCAAAACAAATGCGATTCAAAAATAAAAATAAATCCCAAAATAAAATAAAATGAGGCAGACAAACTAAAAGCCACCCAACTCTTTTCTGAATTTTAAAATAAACCAAATTGACAATAAATCCAAAGAGTAAAAATAGAAAATAGTAATTGTTTCTGCACACTGAAATTTATAAAACCTAAATAAAATAAAATGCACAATCATTTTTCATTTTCAAAAAATAAAATAAAATAAAATAATAGGTGGCTTCAAAAATAACAGAAAAACGTAAAGCTACAAACTAAAACTCTCAATTTTGATTTCATGCGAGAGTAATAGAATAAAAAGTACAGTATATACAGAAACTTTAAAAGCTTTCAAGCTGTGCAAGGGCTTGCATTTTAATAACTTCGATTCACCTCGTGATTCTCGCTCACTAATTACATGCAAAACCCCGGTCACGGGTGTTGGAAGCGGGTCTAACCGTTCATTAGACATGACTGACTGCATGATGAACTTCTCACCCTCATGTCTCATAGTCACTCAGATGACAACGACAGAGAGGGGAAAGAGGGAAAAAAGTGTGTTGTCGTGACTGTCACTGGGAAGCTTATGCTGAGAGCTCCAGAAGCACGGCGAGAAAAATAGACCGAGGCGGGTGGGCCAATCTGGTAGCGCTACACGACACCTGTCCACTGTGTAATTGGTTGGAGAGGGAGAGAAAGGGGGGTTATGGGAAAAAAAACAGAGGGGGAGCATTGCTCGGCATGCAGGAGGCCATGCTTAAAAACGTAATTGAAAACAATGGATGGCAGGCCAGATGTGTGCCATATATCAGAGCCCAAAAGGATTGGGCTAATTTTCCTCCACCGGCTGCTGGTGTTTCGTATTGGGCTTTCGGTGACTGAGTACTTGCACTCCACTCATAACAATGGATTCCCACAACACCCCTCCTATTCTAAATACAACAGGTTTTTTTTGTTTTAGTTTTTTTATCGGAGAGGTTGATTGCGAAACACTTGGTGCTCCCTTTGGATGTAATCAGAGTGATCGAGTGAGGTGTGGGAGAGAGGGAACAAGCGAGTGGAAGAGAGAAAAAGAAGGACCTTGGAGATTGCCAACATATGGATAGAGAGAGAAGCAACAGAGTGGAGCATAAGCGAAAAATAGGCTGAGAAAAAAGCTTTTCCATTTTCAAAAAATGTAGTAAAAACTTCAGCGTGAAGAGACTAAAGGTCTATTGCTGTAAACTTGAAAAGGTTTCATTCCACACGTTCCTCTGCTGGATTCATAGCACTAGCCTGGCCTAACAGGCCTCGAGTTCAACAGTTGGGCTTTTACGGTCTGTACCTTCTGCTGTAACAGCAGTCTAAGACTGGACATGTGTACTTCAGGTGCTACGCAGATCTTGACTTTGTTTTGTAAACCTATTAAACTGAAGGGGAAAAAAAGAGATTAAAACAAATAATCATGATTAATCTTGTAATTCTTTTCTTTTTTTTGCATTAAAGAAAAAGCTATTTGTGCAATTTTTGTGGATGACACTTGTATCAGAACATATGTTCTACTTTGATGGGTCTGTTTATCACTCACAGTATTGACTGTTTTTAATTAGAAATGGATAAACTAACTTATACTAACATAAAACTCGCTTAATATTTTAGATTAAAAGTGACTAACATAACATCAAACAAAGTGGCTAAACTAACATGAAGTGAACAACATAACCTAACCTAAAATTTTAGATTAAAAGGGAACAACACAAAACAACATTCGCAATATTTGCAGTTTTCTTTCAATCAAAAAGGAAAATAATTTGAAGATTAAAATCGCAAGTTTGTTATTGTTAGACGTTCTATATTAGGTTAGTCACTGGTTAGCCACTTCTTGTTATGTAAGGTTAGTCAAAAAATTAAAAATAAAAATAAATCAGTGACTAACCTAACATTATAACATAAAAAACAAAGTGACTAACATAACATAACCTAACATAAAATAACAAAAATTGTCTAACCTAACATATTCTAATATGACACAGTGACTAACATAACATAATAAAATAACATGACATAAAACAAAGTGACTAACCAGGAGCAGTGGGCAGCCATTTATGCTGCGGCGCCCGGGGAGCAGTTGGGGGTTCGGTGCCTTGCTCAAGGGCACCTCAGTCGTGGTATTGAAGGTGGAAGAGAGCGCTGTACATTCACTCCCCCCACCTACAATCCCTGCCAGTACGAGACTAAAACCCGTAACCTTTGGGTTATGAGTCTGACTTTCTAACCATTAGGCCACGACTTCCCCATAAAACAAAGTGGCTAACCTAACTTAAAAGTGACTAACATAAACTAACCAAACATTTTTTAATTAGAAGCGACTAACATTAAACAAAACAATGTGCACAATTTGTTTTTTGTTTTCATTCAAAAAGGAATAAAATTGAAAGATTAAATAATTGCAAGTATGTCAGTCATTCTATATTAGGTTGTTTTTTTTATGTTAGGTAGTCACTTTGTTTTCTATGTTATGTAGGGTTAATCACAAAAAATAAAACAATGTGACTAAACTAACAACAATATAACATTAAAAACAAAGTGACTCATCTAACATAACCTAACAAATAACAACAAATTGACTAACCTAACGTATTCTAATATGACAAAGTGACATACATAATAAACAAAGTGACTAACATAACATACCTCTGTGACTAACCTAATGTAACCAATTATAACAGATTAACATAACATAAAACAGCGCTTAACCTAACACAACATAACAAAACAAAGTGACTAAGCTAATATAAAACAAAATACAAACTTAGTTTCCTAAATTAAAATAAAATGATTAACATTACACAAAGTGACTAACCTAACAAATTAACATAGAATGACTAAAACAATATAAAACAAAGTGACTAACCTAATAACCTTACCTAAAATACAATGACTAACATAGTCTAAAACATAGCATAAAGTGACCAACCTAACAACTTAACCTCACATAACATAATAAAGTGACTGATCTAAAAAAGAATAACTAACATTACAATCAAACAAACTGACTAACCTAACAAAGTGACTAAACCAACAACCTAACATAAAATGACTAACATAACATGTAGCATAACATAAATCTCTATGTTAAGTCACTTTTTATGTCAGTCATTCTATATTAGGTTAGTCACTTTGTTTTATATGTACAGTCACTTTATGTTAGGTTAGTCACTAACATAGCATAGCATAATTTAAAGCGACTAAAATAACATACAGTGTATGCTATGTTGCAAGTACACAATGAGAGACAGTACAAGTTTTCTGTACAAGTACAAAATGTCTGCCTTGATAAATAACTCTTACATAGGGTTTTTTTTTTTTAAGTACAAACAGAAAAGGTTGGGAAACCAAGATAAATCTTGTGTGAAAACAGTTAATTTTGTAATTTGGTTTGTCGCCACTAATTGTGCAGAAATTCCACACTGGACCTTTTAAATTTGAGCTTCAATCAATTTTATAAACTGGTTTTATGAAATAAGACAGCATAAGCACCATCACGCAACATGTTAGAATACATACACCACCCATCAAGACACTAAACGTGTTTGTGTCCATCAATGCATATGCATTCATGTAACAGGCCATAAAACGCATCTGAGTTCAGTAAAATAATGCTTCAGCTGCACAACAGATTCAGTCTGTTGCATATTAGCATTTGTAAGGCATTCGATTTTGTGGACGATGCAATTCAGTGACAGCAACAACATCAGTCCAGACTGACATACGTGTACGTGACGACTGACTGTGAATACAGATAAGCAGCAAATGAAGCGGAACTGATGAGCCCTAATTTATTAAGATTTAGCAACCCGGATGGTAGAAAGGTGCATGTAGCAATTTACACAAAACGTCCTTTCTTTTTGCTCGCTATTTTGCTTTTTCCTTTGTGGCCACACAAGACCTAATTTGACATTTCGGCCAAATCACAGTACACAATAGCCGTGACTCGCTCTAAAGAGACCCATGCGGTTCATCAGGCCCTAATGATGCGTAATTAAGTCCACAAAGGCTCCGTGTATTTGCGTGTGTTCAACCAGAATACTGGGCTTATGATTGAACAGCACTACAGAGGAACTGGAGACCGCCAGGCTGCTTGGACTGATTGATAGGGGAAAATAGAAAACTTGTACTGCTGGAGGACATATTGATGTGTCCAGATTGCATCTGCTGCAAGACGCTGACAACAGCGTGATTGAGGCCAGATCATCGTCAAAAGCTGCATTAAAAGAGAGTAAAGAAGATCTCCAGGATGGTAACATTGCAAACTCTTATGTATGCCTACCTCAAAAGCAATGAAGGAAAGAGCTAAATAAATAAATAATAATAAAAAGTAGCAATGATTGTCAGTACTGTACGTTGCCCTCTGGTTTCGAAATCAGATCCATGATAGAGCCAAAGGCAGAAGATTTCCAGCCCTGTAAAAGTCAAAGCTTGACAAGGAATCAAAACACCGGCTGTGGCCTCCAGGACTGTGTATCAGAACCCTTGGGCTTCACCGTTAGGAAAAAATGCAATGCAATATGAGTATCTGCATTATTAAAACTTCAGTCAAAGTCATAAAATCCCAGCTTATCTGCTTCTCATATTTTCCTCACATCGACCTAACACTGCTTTTCATGTCGACCAGGTAGATAGAAAACTAGCTTGAGGATTATGATAAAGCTACAGTCAGTCTTTAATGTTTAAGCCTTGAAATGCTTTTTGTTTGTTTCTCTCTCTCACATGCCAGCAGAGGTTTTTTATTGATGGGGTGTCTAGCGGCATTATTCTAGACAGGTGGACATGTTTCTTTCTTGCTAAAGCAACAAAATACATGCTTAACTAATGTAAATCAACAAATGAAATAACATTCACAAACAATTCTTCTGCACTAAAACTATTCAAGTTGGATAGAATCGAAATCACCATCCAATCATAATAAATCTATAAATAAAATAAAATAAAAATAAAATAAATCGTACAAAATTGTACATCACATTATTTGGATAAGGATATATATATATATAAAACGCTTCAATCCTATGCTTCTCTACTGTGAAAATAAGAGTGCCAGATTAAATGCCAAAATAAAATAAAAAATAAAATAAAACTTGAAACAGATTTATAATTAGAATAAATAGAGGTGGGTTCCAAGCTAACAGGCCTGAAATAAAAATGTCACAATTCTTAGTTTTTGATGTTTAAAACAAATAGCCAATGCAAAAAAAAAAAAACCATCTTTCCATAATTAAATTGAAAAAAAAAAAAAAAAAAAAAACTAAAAGGGGCTTCAAAGCTAAAAAAAAAACTAAAAGCCACACAATTCTCCTTTTTTGGTTTATAAAACAAATAACCAATTCAAAATAAATAATTCAATACAAAAATTCAACACAATAAAATAAAAATTCTAATCTATATTAAAACTGTACATATGGACTGCACTATATGGTTTGCTTCAATTGTTTGCATCTCTACCGTGAAAACAGAAGACTGCTAAAATAAAGG